GTGCAGAAGCTCTGGAATTTAATTAGATCCCATTTGTCTATTTTGGCTTTTGCTGCAAATGCTTTTGGTGTTTCAGTCATGAAGTTCTTGCCTATGCCTATGTCCTGAATGGCTTGCCTAGGTTTTATTCTAGGGTTTTTATGGTGTTAAGTCTTATATTTAAGTTTTTAATCTATCTGGAATTAATTTTAGTGTAAGGTATCAGGAAGGGGTCCAGTTTCTGCTTTCTGCACATGTTTAGCCACTTTTCCCAACACCATTTATTAAACAGGGAATCCTTTCCCCATTGCTTGTTTTTGTCAGGTTTGTCAAAGATCAGATGGTTGTAGATGTGTGATGTTGCCTCTGAGGCCTCTGTTCAGTTCCACTGGTCTATATCTTTGTTTTGGTACCAGTATCATGCTGTTTTGATTACTGTAGCCTTGTATTATAGTTTGAAGTCAGGTAGCGTGATGCCTCCAGCTTTATTCTTTTTGCTTAGAATTGACTTCGCTATGCGGGCTCTCTTTTGGTTCCATATGAAGTTTAAGGTGCTTTTTTCCAGTTTTGTGAAGAAGGTCATTGGTAGTTTGATGGTGATAGCATTGAATCTATAAATTACTTGGGGCAGTATGGCCATTTTCATGATATTGATTCTTCCTAACCATGAACACGGAATGTTTCTCCATCTGTTTGTGTCTTCTCTTATTTTATTGAGCAGTGGTTTACAGCTCTCCTTGAAGAGGTCCTCTACAACCTTTGTTAGTTGTATTCCTAGTTATTTTATTCTCTTTGTAGCAATTGTGAATGGTAGTTTGTTCTTGATTTGGCTCTCTTTAAGTCTGTTATTGGTGTCTAGGAATGCTTGTGATTTGTGCATATTGATTTTGTATCCTGAGACTTTGCTGAAGTTGCTTATCAGTTTCAGGAGATTTTGACCCGAGACGACGGGGTCTTGTAAATATACAATCATGTCATATGCAAACAAAGACAATTTGACTTCCTCCTTTCCTATTTGAATACCCTTTATTTCTTTTTCTTGCCTGATCGCTCTGGCTAGAACTTCCAATACTATATTGAATAGGAGTGGTGAGAGAGGGCATCCTTGTCTAGTGCCAGATTTCAAAGGGAATGCTTCCAGTTTTTGCCCATTCAGTATTATACTGGCTGTGGGTTTGTCGTAAATAGCTTTTATTTTAAGATACGTTCCATCAATACCTATTTATTGAGGGTTTTTAGTGTAAAGCACTGTTGAATTTTGTCGAAGGCCTTCTCTGCATCTATTGAGATAATCATGTGGTTTTTGTCTTTGGTTCTGTTTATCTGGTGAATTACATTTATAGACTTGTGTATGTTGAACTAGACTTGCATCCCCAGGATGAAGCCTACTTGATCATGATGGATAATCTTTTTGATGTGCTTTTGCATTCAGTTTGCCAGTATTTGATTGAAGATTTTTGCATCTATGTTCATCATGGATATTGGCCTGAAGTTTTCTTTTCTTGTTGAGTCTCTGCCAGGTTTTGGTATCAGGATGATGTTGGTCTCATAAAATGATCTGGGAAGGATTTCCTCTTTTTGGATTGTTTGGAATAGTTTCAGAAAGAGTGGTACCAGCTCCTCTTTGTATGCCTGGTAGATTTCAGCTGTGAACCCATCTGGACCTGGGCTTTTATTGGTTAGTAGGCTATTAAGTCCTGTCTCAACTTCAGCCCTTGTTATTGGTCTAGTCAGGGTTTTGACTTCTTCCTGCTTTAAGCTTGGGAGGATTCAAGTGTCCAGAAATTTACCTATTTCTTCCAGGCTTACTGGTTTATGTGTATAGAGTTGTTTGTAGTAATCTCTTGGTGGTTTGTATTTCTGTGCAATCTGTGGTGATAACCCCTTTATCACTTTTTATTGCATGTATTTGATTCTTCTCTCTTTTCTATTAATCTGGCTAGTGGTCTATTTTGTTGATCTTTTCAAAAAACCAGCTCCTGGATTTATTGATTTTTTGAAGGTTTTTTTGCATCTCTATATTCTTCAGTTCTGCTCTGACCTTAGTTATTTCTTGTCTTCTGCTAGTTTTTGAGTTTTTTTTATCTTGCTCCTCTAGCTCTTTCAATTTTGATGATAGGGTGTCAATTTTAGATCTTTCCTTACTTCTCATGTGGGCATTTATTGCTATAAATTTTCTCTAGACACTGCTTTAAATGTGTCCCAGAGATTCTGGTTCATTGTGTCTTTGTTCTAGCTGGTTTCAAAGAACATCTTTATTTCTGCCTTCATTTCATTGTTCATCCAGTTAATATTCAAGAGCCAGTTGTTCAGTTTCCATGAAGTTGTGCAGTTCTAAGTTAGTTTCTAAATTCTGAGTTCTAACTTGATTGCACTGTGGTCTAAGAGACTGTTTGTTATGATTTCCGTTCTTTTGCATTTGCTGATGAGTGATTTACTTCCAATTATGTGGTCAATTTTAGTAGTAGGTGTGATGTGGTGCTGAGAAGAATGTATATTCTGTGGATTTGGGGTGGAGAGTTCTGTAAATGTCTATTAGGTTTGCTTGGTCCAGGTCTGAGTTCAAGTCCTGGATATCCTTGTTAATTTTCTGTCTCGTTGATCTAATATTGACAGTGGAGTGTTAAACTCTCCCACTATTATTGCGTGGGATTCTATATCTCTTTGTAGGTCATTAAGAACTTGCTTTATGTATCTGGGTGCTCCTGTATTGGGTGCATATATATTTAAGATCGTTAGCTCTTCTTGTTGCATTGATCCTTTTACCATTATGTAATGCACTTCTTTGTCTCTTGTGATCTTTGTTGCTTTAAAGTCTATTTTATCAGAGACGAGAATTGCAACTCCTGTTTTGTTTTGTTTTGTTTTTTCTCTCCATTTGCTTGGTAAATCTTCCTTCATCCCTTTATTTTGAGCCTATGTGTATTCCTGCATGTGAGATAGGTTTCCAGGACACAGCACACCAATGGGTTTTGATTTTTTTTCCAATTTGTCATTCTGTGTCTTTTGATTGGGGTATTTAGCCCATTTACATTTAAGGTTAATATTGTTATGTGTGAATTTGATCTAGCCATTTTGATGCTAGCTGGTTGTTTTGCCTATTAGTTGGCACAGTTTCTTCATTGTGTCGATGCTCTTTATCATTTGGTATGTTTTTGGAGTGGCTGGTACTGGTTGTTCCTTTCTCTGTTGAGTGCTTCTTTCAGGAGTTCTTGTAAAGCAGGCCTGGTGGTGAAGAAATCTCTGAGCAATTGCTTGTTCGTAAAGGATGTTATTTCTCCTTCACTTATGAAGCTTAGTTTGGCTGGATATGAAATTCTAAGTGAAAGTTCTTTTCCTAAAGGATGTTGAATATTGGCCCACACTCTCTTCTGGCTTGCAGGGTTTCTGCTGAGAGATTGCTGTGAGTCTCATGGGCTTCCCTTTGTGGGTAATCCAACCATTCTTTCTGGCTGCCCTTAGCATTTTTTCCTTCATTTCAACCCTGGTGAATCTGACGATTATATGCCTTGGTGTTGCTCTTCCTGAAGAATATCTTTGTGGTGGTGTTCTCTGTACTTCCTGGACTTGAATATTGGCCTGCCTGGCTAGATTGGGCAAGTTTTCCTGGATAATATCCTGAAGAGTATTTTCCAGCTTGGATTCATTCTCTGTCACATTCAGGTATAACTGTCAAACGTAGATTAGGTCTTTTCACATAATCCCATATTTCTTGGAGGCTTTGTTCATTTCTTTTCACTCTTTTTTCTCTAATCTTGCCTTCTCATTTTATTTCATTGGGTTGATCTTCAATCTGTGATATCCTTTCTTCTGCTTGGTCGATTCGGCTATTAAAAGTTGTGTATGCTTCACAAAGTTTTCGTGTTGTTTTTCAGCTCCATCAATACATTTGTATTCCTCTCTAAGCTGTTTATTCTCATTAGCACTTTGTCAAACCTTTTGTCAAGGTTCTTAGTTTCTTTGCATTGGGTTAGAACATGTTCTTTTAGCTCAGAGAAGTTATTACCCACCTTCTGAAGCCTGTTTCTGTCAATTCATCAAATTCATTCTCCATTCAGCCTTGTTCCCTTGCTAATGAGGAGTTGTGATTCCCTTGGAGGAGGAGAGGCATTCTGGTTTTTTGTGTTTTCATCCTTTTTGTGCTGGTTTCTTCCCATCTTTATGGATTTATCTACCTGTGGTCTTTGTAGTTGGTGACTTTCAGATGGGGTCTCTGAATGGAAGTCCTTTTTGTTGATGATGAAGTTATTTCTTTCCATTCCTTAGTTTTCCTTCTAACAGTCAGGCCACTCTGCCGTAGAACTGCTGAAGGTCCACTCCAGACCCTGCTTGCCAAAGGCTTTCTTTTTTAAGCATAACTGTCACTGGGTATTTTTTACTTTGTTTTTGTTTTGAGAAAGGGCCTCACTCTGCCACCCAGGCTGCACGGCAGTGACAGAATCGTGGCTCACTGCAGCCCCCACCTCCTGAGCTCTGGTTCCTCAGCCACCTGAGTAGCTGGGACCACAGGTGAGCACCACCATGCCAGGCTAATTTTTCTATTTTTTGTAGACACATAGGGTTTCGCTATGTTGCCCAGGGTGGTCTTGAACTCCTACGCTCAAGCAATCCACCCGCCTCAGCCTCCCAAAGTGCTGAGATTACAGGTGTGAGCCACTGCTCCCAGCCTAGTCACTGTGTATTTTTAACAAGAGACCTCTGACCCTGTGAATGTGATTTTCTTACTTGGAATAATTTAATACTGTTCCCCTATCTTCCCTGTCTCTCCCTAATTTGTAAAAGGCAGATGATTTTTAAAACCACAAAATAAATGCTTCCTACTGCCAAAACGAACAAACAACAAATGTACCAATTTTCTTTTTGAGATCAAAAACAGAACCTCTTATTAAAAGTAGCAAATGTGAATTAATCCAATACAAATTGCTTCTAAAAACAGTGGTGATATAAATTCAGAGGCACTGCCATCTTAAAAATCTATAAATTCAATGAAAAACAAAGTAATTTTATTTACTTAGTTGTACCTGCTCATCTCTTTGTCTCCATTCTTGCCAATTTTCTTCTCGTGAATCCTTCTGTACTGGGTTTGACAGCGGAAGATCATGCTGAGCATTACAAATAGCATGAGAGGATTTCTGGGGAATTTTCTTGAAAGCAAGATTCCTGAGCTACAAAACAACAAAAAAATATATATTAAATTCAGTTTACCAATTTGAGGCTACTAATGATTTTTTTTAATGACATTTTTATACTTCTACTCCAAACATTCGTTATGCTAACTCACACAACTAAAGTCATTATTTGTGTTTTCTATAATCTTTGTAGAATGTTAATTTTGCCAGCATTTGAGATAATGCTGTTAGATCTATACATGAAATGATTAAGTGAAAAATGTATTATACTCTATTATGCCACCATTTTAACCATTCTTCTTCACTAAAGAAAAGTTTATAGGAATAGAAAACAGTAAAACAAGTTTGCTTTTAAAATGCAAAACACAGCCGAGTTTAGTGGCTTACCCCTGTAATCTTAGCCCACTAGAAGGCTGAGGCAGGTAGACTGCTTGAGCTGAGGAGATTGAGACCAGCCTCAGAAACATGACAAAACCCCATCTTTGCAAAAAATACAAACAAACAAACAAACAAAAACTACCCGAGTATGATGAGTATGATGACATACACCTGTGGTCCCAGCTATCCAGGAGGCTGAGATGGGAGGATCACCTGAGCCCGGGGGGGCTGAGGCTGCAGTGAGCAGTGATCATGCCACTGTACTCCAGCCTGGGTGACAGAGTGACACCCTGTCTCAAAAATAAAAATAAAATAAAACACAAAACAATACAGTTCAGAAAGCGTACACATCTAAAAGTTTAAATAGTTGAGAGATCAACTAAGCAACCATGACAACTACTTTGTTAGTCCTGAAAAATACAGGTCCTAGTCCACAAAGCACACAATGAACTAAAACAGTATGGGCCAAGCCACTCCCAACAATAAAAATAATCTAAGACAAAGGAATTAAAACAAGAGAGAAAAATACTGAGAGGGTGTTATGAACTATATTTGTTAAATTAGGTTTAGACAGCAGACTCTGGGCACACTGCTTATGAGCTAGCTCTGCTCTGCAAGGAGCAGTAAAAAAAGTTTAGTCAAAAGCTGCCTCCTTACATATTTTAAGTTCAACTTAAAAGTTTCTCCATACATAATGAACTGTAACCTAACAATGTATAAACAAACTGTAACCTAACAATGTATAAACAAACCGTAACCTACTCTTGTACCAATCACCAAGTTTTAGCCAATCACAGGTGGCCAACTGCTCAAACCACATTCAAATAAGGCAAAGGTAGAGCTGTAACCAGTCCAGCTCTTGCTGTACCTCACTTCCGTTTTCTGCCCATAAATACTATCTGACCATCTGACAGCCTAAGTGTAGCTCTGAACCTATTTTCTGGTTCTGGGAGCTGCCAAATTGTGAACTGGTCTTTGAGCATTTGAACTTTTCAACTTAAATTGTCTGAAGTTTTTAACAAATTGTAGCCTCCCTAAAGATATAGTGAAGCCCTAACCCCCAGTGCTGGTGAATGTGACCTTTTTGGAAATTGGGTCTTTACGGATGTAATCAAGTTAAGATGAAGTCATGCTGAATTAGATTGGGCCATAATCCAATATGACTGGTGTTCTTAGAGAAAGAGGTGAAGACACAGATACACAGAGAATGCCACATAACAACACAGGCAGAGATTGGGTTGATGACACAGCAAGCCAAAGGAATGCCATGGGTTGACAGCTGCCACCCAGAAGCTAGAAAGAGGCATGGAAAAGATTCTACTCAGAGTCTCAGAAAGGGAATGGCCCTATTGACGTGTGGATTTGAACCTCTACTAGACTCTAGAACTGTGAAAAAACAAGTTTCTGTTGTTTTAAGCCACCAAGTTTGTGGTATTTTTTCTGGCAGCCATTAGAAACTAACAAAAAGGCTTTCAACTGAGGATCAACAGTTTTTTTTTTTTTTTCTTTTTTGAAACAGAGTTTTCGCTCTTGTTACCCAGGCTGGAGTGCAATGGCGCGATCTCGGCTCACCACAACCTCCGCCTCCTGGGTTCAGGCAATTCTCCTGCCTCAGCCTCCTGAGTAGCTGGGATTACAGGCACGTGCCACCATGCCCAGCTAATTTTTGTATTTTTAGTAGAGACAGGGTTTCACCATGTTGACCAGGATGGTCTCGATCTCTTGACCTCGTGATCCACCTGCCTCGGCCTCCCAAAGTGCTGGGATTACAGGCTTGAGCCACCGCGCCCGGCCTGGATCAACAGTTTCAACTGGTAATATCAGGTTGGTGCAAAAGTAGTTGCGTTTTTTACCTAATACATTGTTCTACAAACAGGAATAAGATAAAAACAGCACACTAAGTAGCTGGTTTCTGATACAGAAAGGACATTCAGAAGGAGATGCTGCTGGAAATGAAGCACCGGTAGGTGGGCTGCTGTTTACTTTACAGAAAGTAAAGACTGATGGACTAGAACTGCAATGGCTGAAGTAGAAAGGATCCTTCACACTCATTCTGTTTTACATTTTCTTATTCTCTAATATAAACTCCACTATTGCCTTATTTTGTGTTTCTCCCAAATCACCTTTAATTCCTAAAAGAAAATAGTGGGCAATCAAAAGTTCTGAAATAACTTCTGAAAGGTCATTATCCAGGGAGGAAAATGTCTTTCCTTTAAAGTTATTGTGTGGCAAGCATTTTAAAGAATAGTTAGAAAGCAATGGAGGTAGAAATTTAATGGGAAAAAATAAATTGAAAAGGCTTTTTTCTAAGTCTTGGGACATCATAAAATAACTATGAGAATAAAATACTTTTACTACTTCTCTAATTAAATAATAATGAGAAAAACCCTTATATACTCAACTGCTCCTTCTATTAAAACAAAATACACGCTAGAGTTGTATATCAACATTTCTTTTAAAAACAATGGGCATATTAAATGTTGGTCATATAACTAATGCTAAAGATGTCTAGAAAAAAAGGGCCTTCCATGCAGTTTTTACTCTGAAGGAAAAAATGACCATCGAATGCATAAAAATGTCCAGTCGAGGTGAATTATAGAGGGTCAGGCATTGTGTCTCACACCTGTAATCTCAGCACTTTGGGAAGCTGAGGTGGGTGGATTGCTTAAGCCTAGGAGTTTGAGAACAGCCTGGGCAACATCCTGTGACCCTGTCTCTACAACAAAAAAGAAAAAAGAAATTAGCTAGGCGTGGTGGTGCTTGCCTGTAGTCCTAGCTACTTGGGAGGCTGAGGCGAGAGGACTGCTTAAGCCCAGGAGTTTGAGGCTACAGTGAGCTATATCGTGCCACTGAACTCCAGCCTGGGCAACAGAGAGAGATTCTGCCTTCTCTTTGGAGAAAAAAAGAAAAGACACAGCGCCGTGGCTCATGCCTGTAATCCCAACACTTTGGGAGGCCAAGGTGGGTGGATCACCTGAGCAACATAATGAAACCTCATCCCTACCAAAAATACAAAAAACTGGACTGGCATAGTGGCATGTGCCTGTGCTCCCCGTTACTCAGGAGGCTGACGTGGGAGCATCACTTGAGCCTGGGAGGCAGGGGTTGTAGTGAGCCAAGGTCACACCACTGGATTCCAATCGGTAACAAGAGTGAGATCCCATCTCAAAAAAACAAAAACAACTAGTCATATGATTTTTGTCTGTAACAGTAAAAAACAGGAAACAACCCAAATGTTTATCATGAGTTCAATTAAATAAAAGTATGAAATAACCACATAATCAAATATTGTAAACTGTGGATTCATTTAAAATAACATAAATCTGTATTTACCAGTATGGAAAACTGCTCATGGCTAATTTTTTTTAAAAGCCAGTTATAAAACAGTCTATTATATAATCCCATTTTCATTTAAGTATAATATAGATATACACATACATGTATATAGTCAGATAAATGTATATATGTGTACAGAAAACACATACCAAAATATTAATTGATTATATCATTGGTTATATCTATAAATGACCTTTGTTACCTTTTAAGACTTTCCTATTTTAAACTTTATGCAATGAACACACAAGCTTCCACAGTCAGAAAAATTATATTTAAAAAATGTTCAGGCAGGGTGTGGTGGCTCATGCCTATAACCCCAACAGATTATAGGCCCAAGCAAGCAGATTGCTTGAGCCCAGTAATTCGAAACCAGCCTGAGCAACATGGCAAAACTCCATCTCTACAAAAAATACAACAATCAGGCGTGGGGACATGTGCCTGCAGTCTCAGCTGCTCGGGAGGATAAGGTGGGAGGATACCTTGAGCCCAGGAAGTTGAGGCTACAGTGAACTGTGATCAGCTCACTGCACTCCAGCCTAGGAGACAGAGTGAGACTGTGTCTCAAAAAAAAAAAAAAAAAAAAAAAGTTCATTACATTTGACTTTAAATACATACACAAATTCACAACATCCATTCACTAAAGTAATATTTACAGAGTACCTGTAGAACAGGTACTATGGATACATAGGTGAACAAGATAGTATCTGTTCTCAGGATGATTATCGTCTATTGGGAAAGCAGACAACACAAAAAATTATAATTGTTACCTCATTTGCTTCACTCTGTTGCTGTTCCTTCTTTTTTCTTCTTTTCTCTCTTTTTTTCTCATTTGTAGTTGATTTGCTTCCCAAGGTTTGAGACTTTCCAGTATTTCGACCTTTACCTTTTCCAGGTTCAGAATCAGAACCACTGCCACTATCCACTTGCAACAGCGCAAAACGAGAAGCGGTGGTGGGAACAGAACTAAGTACCGCTGAGGCCATAGTAAAGATTTTTCTTTTAAAATATTTCTGTCAAGAATAATTTCTATGGGGAGAGAGAAGAGTAGGCAGATGAGTAAACACTCAGTAAAATCTGTTCTAGATTCTAAAAACAACCTATGAATATAAAATAAATTTCTTCTGACACTGGATTTAGTAAATTTGGATTAATACCCACAGCACTATTAGCAATAACATACTTTTAGATTTAAGTAAACAATGTAACATTTTACAATAGAAAAATGATATGAGATTTCAAATGTACTCATTTTTCCATACATACTTTAAAAAAATTCATGGTTTTCCTCTCAATAATTCTGTCAATATACACATTTAAAAAGAATATCCTAAATCAATATGGTTTACAGTGGAAAATAATATTTTTTCATTATACACAAAAAAGACCTTTACTCCAACTATATGTTAACTCCCAATTCCAATACAAGGAAAAAAAGGAGTAAGGACGGGATATCATTCTTATCATATATATAATACTACCATAAGTTTGATTCCAGAGACTGTGATTCAGAATGGACAGCAAAAATAAAGAGCTTAAATTCTCCCAACTAAAGGAAACTTTTCAAAATGCCTTCCACATTATGTTTTAGTTCACTAGTTTCCATGCAAGCATAGGTGAGTGTAGCTTCATTCTGTGTGCTGTCAGCTTTTCCACAACCATTTAGACTTACAAGAGATCTTAAAAGTCCCCTAGTAGTTCTTAATCCAAATCCTTTAGTTATACAGCTAAGGTAAGTGGAGTTCAGGTTGGTTATAGGACTTCCCTTAGTTCTTCCTGGAAGTTAATGGCTGAGTCTGCACCTAGACCTAGATTTGCTGAACCTCACTCTGAAAGTCCAAATTAAGAAGCCCTGTAACAACCAGGAGACTCTTCCAATTAAAAAAGACAGACTGTATTAATAGAATGGCAACTCAAATTTATTTTTATTTTGAAATGTTTCAGGCACATAAAAACTGAATATTCAGTTTGAAAAAATCAAGATGAACCCTACAAGTAGCCAGGACAATGGTTAATTAAATGTTAACTGACTCCTATGCCTCCCCTAGTTGCATCCCCCCATTGCACCAGCCAGAGATAACAAGTATCCTGGTTTTTGTATAACTTATTCCTTTGCTTTTCTTTATAGTTTTATCCTATGTCTTGATTTATAGTGCTCATATCTGAATGAACTCCTGTCATTTCACAATATCCCACTGGTTACACATATATTTCTTACTATATCACATTATCACACAGGTCCACCCTATTCATTGTGGGATAGGGCTATGTAAAGGTGAATACTAGGAAGGAAGGATCATTAAGATCCATTCTGAAAGCTAACCACACGCTATCATTTGTATATTTTCAGGAGGGAAGAAAAATGAGAAGCATGTATAAAATCTTCCACCTTAAGTAACCGGAAAAATATCTGGAAATCTTTCATACTTTTGGTATACAATGAAGAAAAATGACAGTAAGAACTGATGTCTAAAGGTGCCATCTAGCAGTCACTGTATCACAGCATTTTTATTATAATACCATGTTAAGACAAATTACTCCTGTGCCTAGAAATAAGCAAATCAATATGTACAGAGATGATACCACATTGATAAATTGTGACATATTTTAGGTTCCAATCTCTCCGGCAAGCATGAGAATGAATGAAAGCTCCGTAAGTTATTACAAAGAAGAAAATATTTCAAAATGGAAACGAAATTCCAGACTCAAAAATATTATGGAAAAGATGAATTCTGCTTCAACCTCAACATAATCCTATAGGTCGGGTGCAGTGGCTCAGGCCTGTAATCCCAGCACTTTGGGAGGCCAAGGCAGGTGGATCACTGGAGGCCAGGAGTTTGACACCAGCCTGGGCAACATAGTGAGACCCTGTCTCTACTAAAAATTCAAAAAATTAGCTGGGCATGGTGATGTGCGCCTATAATCCCAGCTACTCTAGAGGCTGAGGCATGAGAATCTCTTGAACCTGGGAGGTGGAGACTTCAGTCAGCCAAGACTGCACCACTGACTCCAGCCTGAGCAACAGAGTCAGACTCTCTTTCAAAAATAATAATAATCCTATATAAAATTTTAGTTTCTTGAGCTCTCGAGGTACAACAATCCTCTAGAGCTACTTAACAATCACTATATTCAATTTTAAATGTTGGGACTATTAACTGAAGTGCCAGCTCTACTACTGTTCACAAATATTCATTGTCCCTCCCTGAAGGGGAATTATACTATACATCACTTCTCTGTTGAAGGCAAGCATAACCAGCTAACTTACTTTGGCCAGCGAAATATAAACTTTAAACAGCTTTACAAATCAGTTTGTGGTTCAACATGTCCTCTTTTCTCTGCTTCTGTGATTGTGGAAGCATATACTGAGATGGAGTCTCCATCAGCCAGATCTAATAAAGTCTGCAACCACAATGAACAAAGCCACCTTACTAACCTGTGATGGACATGTAAGCTTGACCAAGAAAGCAACTTTGCTGCTTTCAGCTGCTGAGATTTTCAGATTGTTATTGAAGCCTTATCATGACTTACATCATACACAAAAAATTTATTTCCGTTCTAGGACTGATAAGAAAACTATGAATTTCACATCTAGATTGTTTGCATGCATTAAGTGTTCATAAACGTCTATTCTGAAACCTCTCTCCAAGACTCATAGCAATTTTCTTTCTGTAGCATAAGGCAGAGTGATCTTACCAAGGTATCCTTAAATAAAGTTTTCCTTAGGCCTTGGGGCAGCATAGAAAACCCTGAAAAAGTGAGAGCCTCTGTTCCAGTCACCTCCAGATACAACCAACCTCATCTGGTGCTCCTCAGTGGGAAGCTCCTGCACCTGCTGCTCTGCAGTTATGCCAACTAAGAAAAGGGAAGTGTTCCAACTCCTGGTGATCTACCTCATTAGACAACTGCAAAATGCACAGCTACCCATTATTATAGATAGGCCTGTGAAACTGTTGGAAGATTATGTTCAAGGCGCCTCAACAACAAAGGCACACAACAAGCAGCAAGTCAAGAACGGGGGAGCCCAAAACCTAGTGAGGAACGTTTCCAGCAACAGACTTAAATCTCTACATTGATTATATTTTTCCCCATTTGCCAGGGACACGCGTTTTCAGCAGCATCAGATCTAGCTGCAAGGTGACTGCTCAAACAATGCATGTTTTCCGTCACCTAGAGCTTTATCATTATTTTTAAACACTTGAAATTAGAAAGTCCAATTGAATTTGCAATCCTGTCATTCACTTATTTATTCATCTGTTTGTTTTTGAGACAGGGTCTTGCTCTGTTGCCCAGGCTGGAGTGCAGTAGCATGATTATTGCTCACTGCAGCCTCGACTTCCTGGGCTCAAGTGATTCTCCCACATCAGCCTCCTGAGTAGCTGCGACTACAGGTGTGTGCCACCACACTTGGCTAATTTTTTCTTTTTTTTTTTTTTGAGATGACGTCTCACTCTGATACCAGGCTGGAGTGTAGTGGTGCAATCTTGGCTCACTGCAACCTCTGCCTCCTGGGTTCAAGCAATTCTCCTGCCTCAGCCTCCCGAGTAACTGGGATTACAGGCATGCCCCATCATGTCCAGCTAATTTTTGTATTTTTAGCAGAGACAGGGTTTCACCACGTTGGTCAGGCTGGTCTCGAAGTCCTGACTTTGTGATTCTCCTGCCTCGGTTTCCCAAAGTGCTGGGATTACAGGCGTGAGCCACGGTGCCCAGCCAATTTTCTCTGTTTTTTATAGAAGTGGGGGCCTCCCTATGTTGCCTAAGCTGGTTTCGAACTCCTGGGTTCAAGTGATCCTACCTCCGTGGCCTCCCAAAGTGCTGGGATTACAGGCGTGAGCCACTGCAACTGCCCCAAATCCTTTCATTTTATTACAAGAAATTTTCTATTACATTTTTAATGCAAAGAGCTATTAGATTATTTAAAAATAATCCCAACTGTCATAAATTACTCAATTCTTAGATTAAAATTGTTTGTTTTTATTACCTACTCATACAAAGGAAATTTTAATGGGCACTCAATTCTAAGAAATCATTATTTAAAAGTCTAGATCAGGAACTGAATATTCTTATTTCATGGATAAACTGATTTTAAAATGAAAAGTTTCTGTCACAGAAGCAAGTACAATTCTCCCATTAGAAACTGTGAAAAGCGTTTGAAGTTTTACAGAAATTCAACATTTTATTATCTTTCCTATTAATTTATATTATGTTTTACTTATCCTAATCATACAACAAAAATGTTTTTCGTATTTTTTTCCATCTAGTTCAGTACAGATACTTGTAAATCTCTTTCCAGTTCTGAGACAATGAGACACTTCTGGTTCTTTATGTCAGTAATGCAAAAGGCAAATGGCAGGGAACACCAGCACAAGACCACTGACCTGAAGCCAGAATGCCCATCAAACCCAACTTGCTATGTACTGTAAGTCCTTAAGCAGCCTACTTGATCTCTGAGTTGTTGTAAAGACTGAAGAAGTTAATATATGGAAAGTATTTAGAACAGTAGCCAGAAGAACTCAATAGTCATGCATCACTTAATGATGGGGATATGTTATGAGAAATGCATCATTAGGTGATTTCATCATTGTGTTAGTATCACACATTATACTTACACAAACCTAACTGGTACAGCCTACTATCCACCTGGGCTACATGGGATGGCCTACTGCTCCTAGGCTACAAATCTGTACAGCATGTGACTGTATTGGAGGCAACTGTAACACAATGATAAGTGTTTGCATATCTAAAGAAAACGTACAATAAGAATACCACATTATATGTCCATCATTGACGAAAACAAAACGTACTTAATGGAACACATGACTATGTAAGCATTTACAGGTGTTCTTAACTACTATTACTAGACTGAAATACAATGAGGTGCTATGAGGCATAGGAGAATTGGTTTAAAAAACTGTTTAAAAAATTGACTAAGCATGCCTGACTCCATTGCAAAGTGTTTTGAAACTTAATCAACATCTGGCCCCTACACAAGCTAAGGCTTTAATCTTTGACGTAAAAGAAAAGCCAGC